TTGGATTTCTTCTATTCACGACTGATGACGAGGATATATTGACTACACATACTTCCTTTTCTCAACCTGTAATGATGAATGTCCTGTTGTTACGAGACTTATCATTTGGAACTTGTCAATGGCCCGATACCCTCGCCTTCGTAGCAGAACATGTAATTGTCATCATTATTGCCATATAAACCTAGAGGGAATAGCTCCATTGTAAATCACAATCAATTGCAAAAACGAGAGAGGTATCAAGGATATCATCATCAAAATGAACATAACATGCATAACCACCGATTTGACGAGCCTCATTCAACAGAAGTAGATAAAAACAACATGAGAGGTGAAAGACAACGCATAAATATGAAAAATAGGCTTAAACAGGCTCAACCGTCTGCAGCGGAACGTATCCCTCATCATCATCCGCCCTGGTCCTCTTACCAGTAACAAGGGACCAGAAAGCAGATCCCACGTCCTTGACTCGCTGCGAGACGGGCTTCCGACGGGATCCAGTAACCGAGAGCGCAGCCGTCCACCAGCTCTTCTTCTGGGACCCACGAGCACCAAACTGGGCATGTCCCATCTCAAACTCCTTCTCCAGTTTCTCGGCGTCCATCCACCGGGGCCGTTTCCAGAATTTCAAGAGCAGGCTGCTTACGACGACAGACACGCTCGAGGCAGCCATGGCAGCTCCCGCGGCCATAGGGGGTAGCATCATTCCGCCAAAGGGGAGGAAAAGGCCCATGGCGAAGGGGAGGCCGATGAGGTTGTACAAACAAGCCCACATGAGGTTCATTTTGATGCGGTTGAAGACGGACTTGGACAGGGAGAGACTGGCGGGTACGGAGAGGAGGTCGTCGGGGCGCATTAGGACGACGTCTGCGGCTTCCATGGCGACATCTGTGCCTGATGCGAGGGCGATTCCGATTGAGGCCGTGGCCAGGGCTGGGGAGTCGTTGATGCCGTCGCCAACCATCGCTACGCGCTCTCCGGATTCTTGCAGGGAGGCAATGATGGATTGCTTGTCTGAGGGGGAGACGGAGGCGTGGACGGAGCTGGTTGGGATACCGACTGCTGTGGCGATTGCGATGGCGGTGGAATGCGTGTCTCCGGTGATCAGGGAGGTTGAGAGCCCCATACGATGGAGAGCTGCAACGGCCGCCACAGCGCTAACCTTGATGGTGTCACGGAGGGAGATAGTACCGGCATATTGACCATCGATTGCAACGTGGATTTGCGTGATACCGGCAAAGGATCCAGGTTTGGAGCTTATTGATGTTCGGTCGACTGAGGTTTGCGAATCAGAATCGGCGCTCTCAGGAATTGGCACGTCTCGGGATCGCAAGAATAGCACATTCCCTAGCAGAACGCGGTAGCGTGTGCGTTCAACACTGGAAGTCGGCTCCACGATGGCGGAGATACCTTTTCCTGTGCAGGAATCGAATTCGCCCACGCTCCCGGGTATCCCATCTTCTCCTGGGTGACCGGATTCGTCCTTGGCAGCAGAGCAAACAGCCTTACCAATAGGATGCTCACTACTCATCTCTGCGAGACCAACAATCAACCACCAGAGCTGACGACGAGACTCGCTCGACTTCCAAACGGCTTCCAGTTGAGCTTCAGTCACGCTCATTTTTCCTGAAGTCAGAGTTCCTGTCTTGTCGAAGACTACATGGTTAACTTTTGTGGCAGCTTCAAGCACCGCACCGCCCTTGACCAGAATGCCATGCTGTGCACCAACTCCAGTGCCGACCATGACTGCGGTAGGAGTACTGAGACCCAATGCACACGGGCAAGCGAAGACGATGACCGAAATGCAAAGCTTCAAGCAAACCATCACTTTGCCTCCACCGCCCTCTGAGACGAAGATCTTAGGTGGATTTGGCAACAGGTGGCTGATTACCATCCAGCCAAAGAACGTAACTAACCCAAGCGTAATGATGCTGGGGACAAAATAACCGGCCACCACGTCGGCCATGCGTTGAATGGGAGCTCGGCTTGTTTGCGCATCCTGGACCAACTTGACAATTTGGCTCAACTGCGTGTCCTTGCCAGCGCGGATGACTTTAACATCCACGGAGCCAGTACCATTCACAGTTCCAGCATTGACCAGGCTACCCTTCTTCTTATGGACAGGGAGAGCTTCACCAGTAATCATGCTCTCATCGGCATAGCTTTCTCCACGGATGACAATACCGTCTGCGGCAACTTTGTCACCAGGACGAAGAAGAACAATGTCTCCCACTTCGATGAGTTCCGTGGGAATGTACTTGAGCCCTGGCCCCGAAGGTTCGTCAATCGTTGAACTTGTTGATTTTGAATCTGACTTGGCTTTGGTGTTATACCACTCTTCGGCGACCTTCTCAGCTGCAATCGAGTCATCGTAGATGGTAGTCATGGATGGAGCCAATGACATGAGCCGGGAGAGAGCAGCCGATGTCTGACCCTTGGCCCTGTTTTCCAACCATCGTCCCAAAGTGATGAAAGTAATAAGCATTGTACTGGTGTCAAAGACAGTACTGGGGCGTTTATGAGGGGCGAATAACAGAGCGACAATCATGGTAAAAGTGCTGTAAAAGAAGGCAGCAGATGTGCCCATCATGACGAGAACATCCATGGTAGGTGAACGATGCTTCAGAGACTTGTAACTCGAAATGTAAAACCGCTTGCCTATCCCGAACTGAACAGGGATAGTCAACAGTAGACAGGCCACGTCCCCCAGAAAGATTCCAGGGAGTAATGCAAAGTTGCCAAAGTCAATAGCCGGCAAGTACATTGGCAGAAACATGTTAATTACGAAAACAGGGACCGCAAACGATACAGAGACCAAAAAGGCGCGCTTCCATTCTTGGATCTCTTTGGTTTTCGAAAGGGATTCGAGTTGCGCATTTGTGTCGTCCGAATCAGCTAACAAGGCGTTATACCCAGAAGCTTCGATCGCTTCTACCACGGAGCGAATCCCAATGACAGTGGAGTCGTACGATAGGGAAATTCGGAAGGTAGCCATGTTCACGGATGCGGAAGTGATACCTAGTTTTTGAACGAGAGCATCCTCCAAAGCCATCGCCGAAGATGCATCCCGTGGACCGTGGAGGCTCATGTTGACCTGGTGTATCGTCTTCGAAGTGGAAGTATGTGCATCCGAAGAAACGATAGAAGCTTCGAAACCTCCATCTTCGATCAGAGAAGTTATCTTTTCCGACGGAAGGGCGGCTGGGTCGTGAATGATTATCGCACGCTCAGCAAGCAGACTGATGTTGAACTGGACGAGGCCTTCCACATCTTTTAGGGCATTCTGAACACTCGAGGTGCATGCGCCGCATGTCATACCATCGATAGCGACTGTCGTAACCTTTAATTCCGAGTTCTGACCCTCAATCTCTTGCGAATCATCCTGGGGCGACGACGTCTCCAGCACCGTCGCACCAAAGCCGCGATCCTCAATCGCCTCAGCAATTTCTTCCGGAGTAATGCTGGACGGATCGTATTTAACTACTGCGCGCTCGGAAAGCAGCGAAACATTGATGGATTTGACACCGGGCTTCTCTTTCACACCTGATTCGACGGCGGACGTACAAGCGCCACACGTCATCCCTTCCACCGCCAGGGTGGCCGTGGAAACCGAAGGCCCCTCATTATTCTGCCCAGCCTGCTTCACTGACGAGGTATCGGTAGATAGAACGGAGGCGTCGAATCCGCTGTCTTCGATCGTTTGGGCGACTTTCTCTGGCGGTAATAAGGTAGGATCGTGGTGGACGACGGCCCGGCCCATCATCAAGCTCACCGACACATTTCCCGCACCCTCAACACCTTTGAACGCACCCTCCACGGCGGAAGTACATGCGCCACAGGTCATCCCATCCACCTTGACCGTTGTGGTGGCCATGGGCGCTGAGGGCTGGTCCTCGACGTGTAATAAGGGCGAGGAAGATGGTTCTGTCATCGCGACCAAGTCGGTATGGCGAAAAACGAGCAACACAGAGGAAGCTGTAAAGCGAGGTAAATAGCGTTACTATCGCATCGAAGCGTTTTGGACGTGTGAAGTGTCGTAGGTGAATGGAGGACAGGGAGGCAATAAAGGTTCAGCCAAGTAAATTCGGCGGGATACCGGAGGCGGAAGACACGGATGAGATAAGATGAGATGATGGGCTGATCGTCAGCGGTTCTTGCTGCTTTTCTTATGGAATCACCAACATTCAGCTGTATCCCATTCAGTAAAGGACGAATGGTGAGAAGAGAATATGAACAAAGGGAGGAGTGGGATGACGAATTAAGGCGCGAAAGTCACGGGATCACATGGTATGCTGACAGGTAAATGGAGGCTTTGAGGGTTTTAAATAGCCGTAAGCAGGACAGATGAAGTAATTCTTCATCCTCGTATATTTCCTGTGCTTTAATCTACCTGCGATGTTGGTCTTGCTGCTGTCATCTAGTTTGGTCGTTTTCGGGTTTCAACTAGAATGGCCGGTGTTGGCAGCTGTATTAAGTATAAGAATGCCGTAGTTTAGTGGGGATGGTTCCAAGATTGTAATTAGACAGTCTGTTTGAACCAGAAACGAAGCCCGTTCTCTCTTTCATTCCTTTCTTTCTTCCTTCTTTTTAGGGCTGTGCTCGTGTCATGTCAGAATGCTGGCTGATGTCTGCTACTAGCGGCTTATGGAACAGAGCAATCGAAGACATCCGACAGCTTGACTGCGACGATGACCAGAGTCCCCATAATTCAATATAGTTCCAGTACCTTCCAATCCTCGGTAATCAATCTGTGAAGAATGTTTGAGATGGCCTTAAGCAGTAATATTGTACACTATGGCGGAGTGTTTGCACCAAATGCAAACATCCAGATACAGTATCAGCATCACCATCATCCAAGAACAAACAGACATCGACAACCTCCTCCAACAACCAGAAGACACAACTGGAATATTTCCCTAGTCCAACTTACATCAACCTCCTTGAGCGCTTTTATTTATTCACCAACAGCTTATCATAGACGCTAGATAAGGGATCGCAGCTTCATGGACCATACACACGCCCGGGCCCTGGAGGCCCTCCAACCATTCATTCATCTCGCCAACTCCAACAGCGCCACGTCTCCTCGATTTATTGCCAAAATTATCACCGATGCTACCTCAAATCCGCAGACATACGTCTTTGCTGAGCTACTGGAAACCCCGACCATCCAGTCTCTCCGGTCAAAGGAGACCCCAGAGGAATACCAAGGATATCTGACTCTCCTCGAGATCTTCGCCTGGGGAACATGGAAGGATTACCAATGTGAGATTCCCTAACCAGGATATATCTATTGAAAGTGTTGACTAACAACGAGACAGCAACACCCAACCTCCCCGAGCTCAACCAAGACCAAACCCTCAAACTCCGCCTCCTCTCCCTCCTCTCTCTTGCTCCAACCATCAAACCCCTCACATATGAATCCCTCATGGACGCCCTCTCCATATCCACCCCCGCCGAACTCGAATCCCTCGTTACAAAAGCCATCTACTCCTCCCTCATCACCGCCCGTCTCTCCCCCGCATCCGATTCGCCAACGGTGAACGTCACCTCCGTCGCTCCGTTGCGCGACATCAAACCCCAGTCCCTACCGAGTATGATCTCGATTCTGACAGAGTGGGAGTCTCGCTGCGGAGGTGTGATTAGCGACATCGAGGCTGAGATTGAGAAGATCAAAGCGAATACCGCCAAGCGTGCCGCTAAGGAAAATGCGCGCGCGGAACTGCTGAACAAGGCTATCAACAGCTGGCCGGGGGAAGGTGATGAAGAGCATCCGGGGATATCGGGGATGCGGGGAGGACGAAGGCTGGGACCTGGTGGTGGTGGGAGCAGTGGTAACAAGCGCGAGTACAGTGCTGATGATAACGATGACGATGGGTATTTCGAGAATGGGAGTGATGATGCGGGGGCCGCCAGTTCGAGGATGGATATCGACGAAGGCATAGGGTCATCTCGGACTGCCGCTAGACAAGCGAAACGTCTTCTCGGGAAGAAGGCTTGATATTATATTTACGTTTTGCTTCTTTTCGGAAACGATACAAATGAAATGACATGACCTGGCTTGATTGATGACCCTTTGACATGCTCTATGAACTAGCTGAATCCTATCGAGCTGCACTTGACTATGAAACATGATACCAAAAGCCTTTCCACTTGCATTACACAAAGTCACATTTGTAAAAGTCTATCTACCATAGATTATTCGCTTCACTGTCCAAATCAGAAGAAATTCGATAAAAGTCATCCAACGTACACAAATAGTGCGAGAAATGGGTATTTGAGAAGGTAAAATGAACAAAAAAAGAAAAGAAAAGAAAAGAAAAAAAAATATGGACAAAGATGGTATGACCAGAGGGAGAATTATGGTAAATAGAAAACGAAAGGAAAGAAGGTAAACAGTCGCACTGCCCGAAATAGGATGCTAGTGTAGGCATCGCACAGTAATTGGTTGATTGGGATTGCTCCCACCTGTAAATGAGGGACTGGGGACGACCTGAGACAATGTTTGTCTAGATGGATAGACTGCTTCCCAGAAGCAGGCCCTCAAGTCATGTACCGTGCCGAGCCCAAGAACACTTGAAATTACCAGGCTGACGTCGCGCAGACACATAGTCACGACGAGGGAAAAGTTAAAAAGGAAAATATCAACACGCTAGCTGCAGAAAACGAAGAGCATAGAGAGCGACACGATTAGAGCGAGGTACCAGGGACGAAAATGAACAATACACTCAGAGCAGCAGCGATGAAGGCACCGATAAAGAGCACTGAAGTAGATCGCTTATTCAAGAGTTTCCGGACGTAGGGCTCGCGGATCGGTGCCCAGTTCATGAAGGTGTATTCACTGTACCCTAAGAGGGCCATGACCGGGTCGAGCTTGTACTGGTAAGTGATGATGAAATATACGGCCACGACAAATGGCAAAATTATCTGTCAACCATTAGTTATACGATTTTGGTAGGTTAGAGGGGCTATAACATACCCAGCAACGAATGTGCCGTGGCTTGGGCCTGAGAACAACGTAGAAGGCGCCCCAGAAGCCACCACCAAAGCTGATAAGCGCCAAGGCAAGACGGAAAACGATTGACAATGGTACAAGATTTCCCAGAGCCTTGGCCTGCAAGAAACCTGGGAAAGCATCGCGTTCCATGGCTTGGAAAACATAGTCCTTGGCGGGGTCAAACACTTCCGGGTCGTCTCTGCCATCGTCTTCAACCAGATTGATAATAGTAGAAACCATTTCGTCCGGTAGTACAATTTCTCGTTCCGCGCCAGGTAGCAGGTATGTGTAGAGGACTTTCTCTGCGCTAGCACGGATGTCGGCGCGCGCTACCGTGTGCCCTGGTGAATTCGAATCATTTTGTGTTTCGGAACTTTCACGAGCTTGTTCGTCTGACGCACTTCGTTCGTGGTTGTAGGTTTCGTGGCTAGCTTCGGTAGAGTTTCCGTTGGTATTGTGACCGTCAAGGCGCAGAAATGCTGACAGTCTTTGATCTGCGTGTTTTTCATCGGGAAGATCGTTGCGCGTGTTTGAAGGCCCAGCTTCTACCAGTGGGATGTCGCCCATTGTGTCCATGTTGTCCAATACTGCTGCTGATGATCCTTTGCTCTCAGCCTTTTCGAGCTCCGGCGTGGCCACCAGAACAGAGCGACGTAATTCTCGGACATAGTGACGGCAGAGGGACATGTGTTGCGATACATCCAGCCTAACGAGACTTGTGTTAGAAAGAGCAAAAGATTAGTAGTTATCGCGATCGCCTGAACGTACCAGAAATCGAGATAATCAACCGACCGTTGCTGATCGCGCATGTAAATGTAGAACGAGAAGAGATCGACGGGAGCGAGCGTCCGGCGACTTAGGACTTCATAGAGCGTCGGGAGGCGATTGCGCTGCTCCACGTCCAAAAGCGAAGGTGAAGCCATTTTAACGAGTGTGGTTCAATTATAGAGATCGAATATCGTTGAATATCACGCGAATACCTCGAGCATAAAAGAGGGGCCCGAATAAAGGGAAAAAAGGGGGAAGCGAGCGTCAATCGTCTGGTATTGTCGAAAAAACGGGAGTAAATATTGCACAAATCTCCTCCGTGATGATTATCAAAGCCAAAATCAGTCACAGTTAATTAATAGGAGCACTCCACAGAGGGAGGGCTGGAGAGTTGGAGGAGAAGTGAAGAGATTGAATAGTAACAGTAGGTGAGGATGATCTCAAACAGGAGTCTCCTCCCCCTGTAAGGGTTTCCCGAATAGTCGAAATCCAAACGGACAGCCACTCCGAAGCAGCCGCGACAACAACAATAACAACAACAACGAAGAGATATCAAGAATATAAAATACAAGAATAATGCATCAAGCAGGTTAGAATGAAGTGAAAACAGACGAGTGCCCAGCAGCCTCTCCAGCACAAATCAATAATCCTAGTAATGGAAGATTTTTGGTTGTCATCCAAAAGCCAGCAAGCAGACGGCCCGCTTCAACGTTACGCCGAGATGAAGGTCCACCAGCCCCGTCAGGCACCCACACGTGCCGGTCTTCAATACTGTATCGTACCGTACGACCGATGTGACTGGTTTTGGTTGACAGCGGCACATCAAAGGCAAAGCTCAATATATTAGGAAGGATGTGGTGAAAATCATGGTATTACGTATGATGCAGACAGTTGATAACCCTACTACATATATTGATTGCTATTGATTGGACTGTACTTGTACTCCGTACTGTACCTGTACTAACATTGAAAGCCCAGCAAGGGACCACAGTAATCCACAATACAGTGAAATTGCTAAAAATACCAGTTTCACCCAAAACTCAAATATAGAAAGCCGAAACCGAATCTCCAGAACCAATGCTTCATCAATCACTCTTTGGGTATTGTCCATGGAACCTTATAAACCACAGGAAATGCATATATAAACGCCAGCCACACGAATAACTCCTACGCTCCAAAGCATGCCAGATAATTTCAATCTCAATGGCCATCAGCCAAGTGCTAGAAAACCGTCAGTTAGCATAATGAACAACAAACTCATAGATATTCGAGGTTCTTCAGACTGTGGATACTTACCGACCACTCCGGGATGTTCCGGATCTGCTGCCACATGAACTTCTCCAGCTTGTTCGCACTCTTGGCATATGGGGTGGTCTCGTTGTTATACCGCCTGCAGTTGTCGAATATCAACATAGCGTCCTTGATGAAGTCCTGTGGTGTCGGATACATGTCCTTTTCGTGCTTCTCCTCCATGGTCGAGAGGTCCATAGGCTCCTTAATAACCTCGTAGTAATCCGGCACTTCATCACGATTGACAGGTTGAGTAAAGGGCCACGCAGCGCTGTGGTTTTGCATGTCGTTGAGAAGGTGCAGCAGTTGGTTATAGTTTGGTCCATGGCGTGGTTGACGAGCCAGCTCATCCATATCAGGTGACCACCCGGATTCCTTGATGGCCGGGATGCTCAAGGGGTCGATCTGACACGGCCCGTTTTTCCACTCTTTTGGCGGATTGTGGATGATATGTGACCGACTAAACGCGCGAATCTTTGCATGAACCGCTTCCTTTTGCTTCAAGAGCATGCGCCCAATTTCCAGGTACCGTATCTTGGGCAGCATCGTGCACTGCATAATGGTGCCTCCCTCGTAATCCTTGATATATCCCATCCACATAGACCTTTCGAGCGTGATCTCCTTCGTGAAGCCTTGCTTTTTGAAATATCCAATAGCATAGTTATCGGCGTATGTCAGAAAGTGCATGATGGGCGATGTCGCTTTCACATAGTCCTGCAACACGTCAACATCCAGTATGCCCTCTGTATTGGCCATCCAACTCATACCTTAAGATGCGACATCAGATGCGCTCCGTAACCTTTCACCTGCTGGTCGGAAGAAATGGCACAAAAGACAATTTCGGCGAACTTGCGACTGTTGAATGGCCGGTACGTGATTCCTCTGGGTACGCATTAGTGGCGAACTATAACCTCTTTGAATCCTGTATACGTACCCAACTACCTCCAACGGATGTTTCACAATCGCGATAGACAGATGCGATCTGTCGTACACTAATCGCGCAATATAATCCTTGGGCATCTTGGGAAGTTGCTTCTGGAAAATGCATTTCAACCCAGTAAGGATAACAAAGCTATCCCGCGACCCATCGTTATTGACCACCCGGAACTCGATATCTCCTCGACGCTCTTCTAAAACCGCAGGCTATGATAACGCGACAGTCAATATCATTTCTATCAAGGCGAATACCCATCGGTGAAGCTTACTTTCTCGGGAAAGGGGACGATTCGGAGGAGCTTCCCGGTGTCTTCGTCTTCCTCGACCTAGACAGAACCAGCAACCGTTAGAAGATCGCGATAACATATACAGCATCTCAGAAGAGGGACCATGAACAAACCTTTGGTTCTCGTTCTAGCGAGTCAGTGCGCGCTTTCTTGCTCTGTTGTTGCGAATCCGGGGAAGTGATGTCCTCGGAAGCTTTCCGCTTTGCGCCTGGATATGGGGTCAGTAATCGATTAGACCAATCGCCGAACGAGGGTCGTCAAGGCAGCGACTCACTGTCAATCGCCATGGCAGCCATAATGCGCTGGGTGGGTTATTCTGTTGTTCTCTTCGTCTCGTGAAGCGCCACGGGATCTCCACGCTCTGCCGATACGGGGCCTAGCGTCGGCGGAACAATTGTTCCGAGATACCAATTGGGCCAGATCATTCGGAATAGCTTCAGATGCATCTACTTCTATTCCTCCCTGTGCGGTTTTGTCGGTGGTGAATGTCTTTTGTTTGAAATTTAATTCTAACAAACACTTATCCTGATGTCGTTGAACGAAGTCTGGGAGGCAGCCTCCGCACACCCTTTCTCTCCCGTGGTCTCCAAAGACAATCAGTTCTCCGTCGGCTTCAGTTTACTGCTCATTGGTAGGACCGCATCCGCATCCAGATGAGATTCCAACCGTTTACTGATTGACTGCCATAGCATTCTTCCTGTCTGGACTCTTCGGACTGAGTTA